CAATAATATATATGTGCTGATTGTCTTTTCCACAGGCAATGTATCCAAAGTCCTGCTTTGCTAAATGTTAAATCACTTTTAGAATCCAGCCCATATTTCACCATGATACCAAGTAAAATCTTCCCAGATATTGGGGAAGAGAGAGAAGAGAGAGCTATTGGGACTGATACTCCAACTTAAGGGTTCTGGGCCAAAAGAACCACTACCTGAGAGATTTGCCAGACAACTTAACTAATATCAAAATATTGAACTGGTTTCTCTGCCGTTGAGGCACCCTGCCTTCTGCTGATGTTACGCTACCTTTGACTTTCTGAATGGTTTACAGGGACTCCAGGGAACTGAGTCAGAGAGGGACAGACATAGAAAGACTGCACTCATTTATGGAGTATAAAACAACATAACATGAAGCTGACACCTAAGGATTGTAGATACATGGGACAGGAAGATTGCTCCATAGCTGGAAGCCTGCCTCATGAGCAAAGGGGAGAAGGCAGCTGGAATAGAGAAGGGAACACTAAGAAAATGATGGCTTTGAGGAATCGGTCGGGATGTGTGCTGAAAGTAGATAAAGGACCAAACATGATAACCTCTCAGTGTCTGGATTGCAAACCATAATGCCCCAAAGTAGAGAGAGAGTATGGGGAATATTGTCTGCCATGGAGGCAGGGTAAAGTGGGTAAGGGGGGATATACCAGGGACAATAGTGGTGGGGAATATGCACTGGTGGAGGGATGGGTGTTTGATCATTGTGTGATTGTAACCCAAACATGAAAGCTTGTAACTATCTCATGGTGATTCAATAAAATTTTTTAAAAATAGCAAAATTCCTTTTAAAAAGTAAATTAAATTTTTTTTTTAAAAATAGGGACTCCAGGGTGTGTGTGTGGGGGGGGGGGGGGTGGAGCTGAAGAGATGGTGCAGGTGTTAAGGCATTTAACATATAGCCATCCTGGGCTGATTCCCAGCAACCCCCAGGACTTTTCAGTAAATAACGGGGTACCCCAAATGGAGAGTTCTCTAATCTTGCTGTATTTATGCAAAAGAAAGAATGAGCCAGATTTGTTAAGCCATCTGGCAAATTTAAAAGGAAGGTGGAGAGAAAACCTTGTTTCTGTAACTTGCTTTTTGTAAGAATCAGATTCTAATTCTACAGAGGTGATTGAATAAATGTACTCTAATCTTGGTTTAAAAGGTACCTCCTTTAGGAAATTTAGATAAAACTTGGTTTACTGATTGCAGGAGAGATGGCACTGTGGGTAGGGCATTTGCCTTGCACATGGCTAACCTGGATTCGATTCCTCCATCCCTCTCGGATAACCCGGTAAGCGACCAAGAGTATCCTGCCCGCACGGCAGAGCCTGGCAAGCTCCCTGTGGTGTATTTGATATGCAAAAACAGTAACAGCATGTCTCACAATGGAGATGTTACTGGTGCCCGCTTGAGCAAATTGATGAACAACGGGAGGACAGTGCTACAGTGCTACAGGTCTGATTCCCTTCATTGCATAGCATCCCCAGCAGTGACTCCTGTGTACAGAGCCAGGAACAAATTCTGAGGACCACCAGGTCCGACCCCCAAACAACAACAATAAAAAAGTAAAATAAAGTGATTCCTGGGTGAGGAGATGAAATTCTCTGGAAGCCCAAGTCAGTGACTCCCTGGGGTTTGGTGTCTTCATCACTGTCCTCCCCACACACTTCCTGGGGACTGAGTTGTAACAAACACCAACCATCACATCACCGTCAGAAAAAATTGGTTTGCCACAGTTCTCTGAGGGCCTTAGCCAATGAACAAAATACAAAACTCAAGAGTGTAGAACATAACTGGTGCAAAAAACATCCTACGAAGTAGGAAAAATAAAAATTTGAGGACACACGGTTCTCAGGAAGCTCAAAAGAGAAGCAGATGATTATTTCTCTGATGGCTGCACTGTTGTGTAATGCAGTTGCTTGCTCTCCCTACTCTGCATTAGGCAGTGCTGCTCTGGGACAAATCGCAACCCCCTCCCCACTTTCCTAATTGCAATAAGGTGAAAGGACAGCAAGCTTTGGCTCTTTTATGGCACAGATGGGTCAGAACGATGGTACCGGGTGCCAGGCTCTCACTGGTTCTCACCATGTCCATGCTGGACTGGAGGTGACACCCAACTCTCTTGGGTGGCTGCTGCAGGGACCCAGCCTCTCTTGGTTTGCTGGATGAAGGGTCTCAGTTCCTTCCCAAGGTCACAGGGCTCCCTCAGCGCCCCCAGACCTCTAAGGCACAATCTCAGCCTTGTTCTCCCCTCATACTGCATGGACTGCCAAATTCCAGACCTTTATTCCTTCACACCTTGAATATTTCAGGTCTACTATCTTGTTTGGGGATCACACATGGCAGTGCTCAGGGTTTACTCCTGGGTCTGTGCTCAGGGACTATTCCTGGTGGTACTTGGAAGACCATATATGGTGCCAGGATGGAACCAAGATCAACATTGCAAAAAGTAAGTGCTCTATCTCCTATAATTATCTCTTAGTTCCTCCATACTATTCTTTCTCTTTTTTGCTTTGTTTTCTGGCTAAACCCAGCTGTGATCAGAGCTTACATTCCTGATTCTGTGCTCAAGAATCACTCCTGATAGTGCTCACAGGGAACCATATACAATGCTGGAGATTGAACCAGAGTTGGCTTCATGCAAGGCAGGCACCTCACCCACTGCACTATCTCTCCAGCCCAACTTCCTTAGTCCACTAAGTCCTAGACATCAAAACCAGAGAAATCTTTCTCAGTCACACTTTCTTCTCTTCTGTGGTTCCCCATTGTCAAATAGCGCCCCTTTTGAGGCTGCCATTCAGTCCCTTCTCTAATTTGACGAGCCTATTTACACAAACTCAGCACCCCCAACTCCTCAATACTGCCTCACAGTGCTTGAAAAACCACACTCAAAGCCCAGGCAACACGACACTCCATGTCCCATCTGGTCCCCAGCAAGAACACTTCACGCTGCCATTTTAAATCTTTCCCTGCCAAGCTGCAGAACAGAGCCCACCTTCTCTGCGACTGGTCACGCCCAACTAGATTTCGGTCTTCCTGTGGGAAGAAGAACTTTGCAAAAACTCGCGGTCCTCTCTGGCAGAGCACGCAGCTCCCTCTGTGCTGCTCAGGCGCTGTGTGCGCGTCTGGTTTTCCAAGGCAGCCAATATGTTCCACACCCGCCTGCTTCCACGGAGACCTGCAGGATGCATCTCCAGGAGAGCAATTCTGGGCGGCGCCTGTCTTCCTTTGCTGGAGGCAACTAGTTCATGCCAAGTATTATTTGATGTAAAGATGGGTGGGTGGGAGGGAGAGAAAAGGCATGACAAAAGCACTGCGATGCATATCCTAAGAGGGTAATGAGGAATGAATATTTGTTAGTTACTAGTCATCCTTAAAGTGTGATTTCTCTACCCAGAGACACCTTGAAATCGCTTAGTGGTCCTCCCATATACGAACCCTTCCAAAGAGAGCAAAGGAAGTGAAATTGACTTTAGATTTGACCAGCCAACAAACGGAAACACCCTTCATCCAAGTTTCACAGGGGAATATCATCAGTCCAAGCCCCGAGCGCCTCCTGCCTCATTCACCCTAACTTTGCCTTTGAGACACACAGGATGACGAGTGCATGGGGTGAGGGTAGGAAGCGAACGAACACAGGACTGAGCGACTTCGAACCCGCACGTTTGAGCTACTGTGCAGAATACAAGAGTGACAAGCATTGAAAGACACTGGCAGACAGGGGAAATGTTTATCCCGTGTGTGAGCAAGCGCGTTGGGTGGGGGGGGGGGGGGGAACAGATCCTTCTATTTTACGTAACTATTAGTAAAGAAGACTTTTTAAAAAGGAAGATACCAGAGGCAATGGCAACGATTCTTCCTCTTTCTGTCTTGCTGCTGGAACAGTGGCGCCTGACGCGAGCGAACGCTCCCGGGAATCGAATTCTGATTGTCCAGGGCATCTGCTCATCCGTCCACCCTCATCTCAGGGACGAGCGAGCTCCGGAACCCGCTCCAGATGCGACACCGTCCTCGGAGTGCGGCCGCGATGCTCGACCCGCGCCCGTGATCCGGGAGCAGAGTCAGGGGCGGGCGTTTTTCCCAGGGCTGGAGACACGCACCGCGCGGAGAATGCGGGAGTCCCGGGTGGGGGATAAGGGGCCGCCGAGTTTCCAGCTTTGCACGTCCCGCGCGGGCCGAGAGAGGAGGGTCCAGCAGCTCCTCCTGCCTCCCCTCCTCCAGCGCCCAAACTCACCTGCGTCCACCGGCTCCACCGGCCTAGACTCCCGAAGGCGTCCGCAGCATCCTCCAACCGCCCGACGAGGCACTGTCCGCCGGGCCAGGGAGTGGTGCGCGCAAGACGAGGGCGCCGGGGTCCTGTCCTGGGGAAGGGATCGACGTCGGGAGAAGCGGGTGCAGCTCCTTTTTTTTTTTTTTTTTGCAGGAATCTTAAGTCGCGGGAATCGTCGCCGGGGGCTGCGCCTCGTCGTGGGGTGCTGGGGACCCGACGAGAGAAGGAAACTCGCTGGGGAAAGGCTCTCTGCAAAAACTTTCCGTCTTCTGGGCACAACTCTGCAGGAAAACCCACCCTTCCTACGCCCCCCTAGCACTCCTAGGTCCTCCGGACCTCTGGCGAGGTCCCCCCTCCCTCCCAACACACATACACACACGCGCACACACACACGCACACAGACAGACACACACACAAAACCCCAGACCCCCGGCCGTCGCCCCGCACACCCCGGCTCCCCCGGAGCGCGGCTGCCCCGGCGCCTTCCGCGCAGCATCTCGGCGCCCGCGCGCCGCTGCCCATCCCGGGAGCCGGCGCGCGCGGCCCCTCCCCGGCGGGCGGCTCTCTGCTGCCCCTGGCGGCCGCGACACGCAGCGCGCCCGGCCCGAGCGCCGGCTCCTCCTCCTCGCTCGCTCTCTCCTCCTCCTCCTCCTCCCCCTCCTCCTCCTCCTCCTCCTCCCCCTCCTCTCCCTCTCCTCCTCCTCCTCCCCCTCCTCCTCCTCCTCCTCCTCCTCCGCCTTCCTCCTCCCGGCCCTGCCTCCCTCCCCCTTTCAGAACACTCAATGTCGGAACGTTCCGAAGATGACGTCGGAGCGTTCTCGAATCCCGTGTCTCTCGGCTGCTGCTGCCGAAGGAACAGGGAAAAAGCAACAAGAAGGAAGAGCAATGGCGACACTGGATCGCAAAGTGCCCAGTCCGGAGGCGTTTCTGGGCAAACCCTGGTCCTCCTGGATCGACGCCGCCAAATTACACTGCTCGGACAGTAAGAACCCCACCGCCTCCTCTTCCTTTTATTATCCTGTAACCTTTCCATTCACCTAGAGCCACTGGGAGGAAAAAAAAAAAAGTGTGTTGGAGAGAGAGAGAGAGTGGCCCCCAGCGTCCTCCATGCTTTTGCCTCTCTCTCGCTAAATAAATACACACAGACACAGACCATCAGTGCACTGAGGCCCTTGGCTGCCAGCGCTGTCTGTCTGTCTGGTCTGTCTGTCTGTGCTCGGCTCCCGGTGGAAGCCTGCGGGGTGGGCTTTCCCAGCCCCACCGTGTGTGGGTTTAAAAGGCGATACTCTGTTGCTTGCTTGCATAGTTTTTTGGGGTACCTATCTGGGCCAGGTAGATGGAAAACCCGAACTTGGGAGGAAAAAAAAATGTTGCATTATCAATTTTGGGAAAAGATTTTCATAGACAGGATGGATATATCGATCTGTTTGCAAATAAACTCTCCCTCCCCCCTTGACTTTGGCTCACTCCCCCCTTCCACACCTTTTTATTTTAATTCCCCTCTTTTTTTTAATTTTCTTTTCTTCTTTTCTTTTTCATTTGCAGATGTAGATTTAGAAGAGGCTGGAAAAGAGGGTGGAAAAAGCAGGGAGGTTATGAGGCTTAATAAAGAAGGTAAGTGGAGCTACTGGCATTTTAGTGTTAGCATGTGTGCTAGAATCTTCATAGGATTTCGAATATAAGCGTGAATTGTTCTGCTGGCTACAGAGTGACTAAGGCTTGTCAAAAATCCAGCATGCCCAGGTGACTACTGATTCATGTTAACTTCTTTCAAAGTCTAAATACAACTAGGGTGGTGGGGTGGGATGGCGAGAAAGGGGTGAGAAGGTTGTAGGCAGAAGTTTCCTGCACTTCAACTGGAGTCTGCATTTGGATGCCTGTCTGCCATTGGTCTTTGGAGCATCTTTACCAAATGATGGGGGTGGGGAAGGGTGGATGTCTCTGGATTGAAGACTGGAGCAGCCTTCACAAACACCCTCGCCTTCCTTGTGAGGAAGGGCTCAACAATGGAATGAACCACACTGACCAGTCATTCCCACAGCTGTTTCTCTACCAACCCTCCTTCCCCCCAAGGCCCACTCTGCCCCCAAGATTGCACCTGGCAAACCTTTGCACGAAGTCACATTTGGTCCACAGAGCATTTGATTAGATCGTTATATGGTGATAGGGGTGTCTGAAAGTGCACACCCTTCCCTACAGCCCACCCCCCCACACCCCTTGTCCCTCCACCAAGTCAGCGGTCCATCCCTGTTTTCCCAGCATGAAAATCCAGTGCCCAAATGAATAGGACACAGTCAGTAGAGAGGTTGTCCCAGACCAAGGCAGGCAAGAAAAGCCACAGTCTGCTGGTACTGAGCATCACACACACACATGGTTGTCGTAAATAAATCATATCCTGTTCACATTTGCAAGCCTGCCATATGTAACTCTGGCCTATGGGCTTCAGATGGAGCAACTCCAGAGTTCTCTTTCTGCTGAACAAATGGACGGGTTCCTTTGAATTGTAATTTACTTACTGATGGCTTGTGAGCATGGTTGGCTAAAATTGAGGTGGGAGGAAGGCACAGGCTGGCAGAAGAGTTTGGTGGGAAGTATTGAAGGAGTTGAGCCTTAAGTAGGCCAGCAGAGCATTGCTCAGCCAATGTGATTGGAGGAGAGGGTATTACATCCTGAAGAATGTCCTTCTCCTATACTGGATATCACCAGGGAAGGCAGCTAAAACCCACTTGGAGTGATGGACTTCATTTTATTAATTGACACCCAACACTGTTGGTTCTCTGTGCTCCTCTGGAGAGGGGAAATTTTGTGCTTTAGAAAAATAGCATGGGGATTTAAATGGATACATGTTCAAGGGTCTTTGTCTAGGTAGTGTTTTTGCTAATTGAGCACTGTGATTGGGAATGAAACCTTATTCTAAAAATGTTTGCCCCTAAACATCTTAGTGTGATCTTGATGTATGTCTTTAGAATGCAGAGGGGAATGATGTCAAATGGACTTATCACAAGAGGCAGCTTATGAGGGCTCAATGTCTGCATGTTGCCAGTGGAGGGTACCTCTAGAGATTGCTTTTCTTCACTAACTCTTGAGAGATCTTTAAAAGCTTATAGGACTTGGCTATCCAATCACCAACAATGAAAAAGTTTCCCACAAAAGAAAATGAGTTTATGAAAACCTTTAAATTTGAGTTGAATAGAAGTCATGGGTAGATGGTATATATCACATACCAATATCATGGTATATGGTATTGGCACCTCTCAGACCCAGGACTGGTAGATTATGACTATACCATACAAAATTTATATTCTGCGTCCTCCTTTCCATTTCAAAAGATTCTTGTTCTTAGATTCTCTATGCCTTATGAGAAATAGTTTCTTTTAAGGAAAAATGAAAGGCTCTCCTTTCCTCAGAAGTTACAAGTGTATATCCTGCTTATTATGTCCTTTGTCCCATGAAGGTACAAAGATTTAGCTCCTAATTATATGCATTTGCATTAAGGATACCCACTGTTCAGTGTAACGTGCAATTGCTGAGTTTGCCAAAATAGCCAAGTATGGGCTGAAATCTCTTTGTTCCTAGACCTGGTGGAGCAGAATTGGATTAGCAATTCTTGAAAATCTTCCTGGTATATGAACACTATTTTCTTTATATATAGACTATACATATGCTAAATATTTTTGGGAAATTTAAGGGTTCAGCTAGCTTCTGGGTTAAGGTGTTAGGTTACAGAGGTTTTCAGGATTTCAAGTGTCCTAAGCCTTGTCACGGCCTTCTTGTTGGAATCCACCTGTGGAAGGTATTGGGAGGGTTTGTATTTCTGATTAAGTCACTGCGAGTCCCAGAATGTTTTAAGTGTGAACATGCCATTGACTGATCAGTATAGATTTGACCATGGTGTATTAAGTGTGAATGTGCCATTGACTGATCAGTATAGATTTGACCATGGTGTATTGGCAGTAAATAGGTCCTAGGATGAAATTCGGGCTTTTAGAGCAATGAGTAAATAAACATGTCATGGAATTCTAACTGAGAAATGAAAGATTATAATCTAGATTTATTTTTACATTTTCATTAGTAAAAAAATTTAATCACAAAGTACAAGTAATTAAGATACATTCAATTTCTCAAATTTTAGAATCTGACATAATAATATTTTAATTGGTTTTGAAAAGTGATATGGAAAAGTATAATCTAGATTATGATATGACTTTTTTGTTAATAAAATAAATGTTACTTAAAATTTACCATTTTAGCCCATATAAGGTATACAGTTCAGCAGTCTTTAGGACATTAATGATGCTGTACACTCATCCTCACTCTGGACTTCCCAAAACATGTTTATCCTCCAGCCAGAAACTGTACATGTTCTATAGTGATTCTCTAGTCCTTCTTCCTTTTAGTCCTGATAACTTCTGTTTTCTGTCTCTATGAAGTCACCTCTTATTATTCTTATTTCCTTTTGTTTTGGAATCACATTTAGTGGTGCTCAGGGCTAATTCCTGGCTCGGCCCTCAGGAATTATTCCTGGAGGTGCTCAGGGGATCATGTGGGATGCCAGGGATCAAACCCGGGTCAGTCTCATGCAAGGCAGATGCCCTTCCCACTGGACTATTGCTTTGTTCCCAAAGTTTCCTCTTCTAAATACCTTATTTATTATACAGTGTTACCCTTCATGTTGGATTATTTCACTTAGCATAATATTTTTCCTGATTCATGTTGTAGCATCTAGCAGAACTTGATTCTTTTTTACAGCTAAATAGTATTCCATGTGTGTACCTACCCTGTTTTGTTTACCCTGCCATCTGTTGATGGTCATGTGGTTGTCTCCACCTTTTGGCTACAGTGAATGATTCTGCTGTGAGTATTGTTGCCACTGAGTATTTTTTTTTATAGACTAAGCTGAACAAGGGCAGATAGGATCCTTTACCTTCTGCTTCTATTTGACTGTAAGTTTGGAAAATACAGGATGGACTTTCTGAATAATTTGACAGTAGTATAGTTTCCTTCTCCATTCCTAGTTTCTTCAACGTGTTCTATTTCAATTCACTACCTATATTTGTCAAAAATGTTAATAGAATTCTAACATTTGTAAGTGTGGCACTGGGGTCAGTGCCCCACTGGGTATATGTCTCCCCCCACCCCTCACCTACTAATTTAAAAATAAGAAAGAAGAACCAAATTACAATCAAGAAGAAGAGAATACTTCTTTTGAACCTTGTTAAATCATACCCTGGATTCTGAAGGTCTTGTTAATGTCATACTTGGATGAATCTGATGGCTTTGGGCCAGCCCTGTATGTTCCCATTTCTGATGTTGGGAACACTATTTCCCTTCTCTGGGCAAATTCTCTCACTTGTAAAGGAGTGGGATTAAATATTCCATAGGGGCTTTTTGAGACTACTGAACCTACGTTGCTCTACTCAATGCATGTATGTTCCTGACAGGCTAGTTTTGTTGTTATTATAGTACTGGGTGTTAAACCCAGAACCTCACACATGGAAGGCAAATGCTCTGCCACTGAGCTATTTCTCCAGCCCTTTGGATTTTTGTTTCTTTTTTTTTTTTTTAGCCTTCCAGGTGATGCTCAGGAAGTTGGGGTGCCTCCACCAGTAATTCTCATTCAGCTTGGTTGGTGATTCAGTGCTAGGGCCTAATGCTGCAGTGCTGCATGGGCCTTGTGATGGGGGGTTAACTGGGCCACTCGGGTGGTGCTGGGGCCTCTAGGACTATATCCAGAGAAGTTTGGGGAAACCATTGTGGTTTCAAATTTGTGTTGGGTGTCTTCTAAACTTATGCCCCCATCACTATTCTACCTGTCAGCACCAGACAGCCTGTTTTTAAAGAAATGTAAAAAAAAAAAAAAAAGGTAAAACAAGCGTTCACATTAAAAATACCTTAAACTACTATGCACTGGCTCTATTTTCTCATTTTTTTCACCTCTTGGTGGCAAAAATCACCACATCTCATACACAAGAACATTCTGCTGCAGTTTGTGAATGAAATGGGACCTTTAAGACTAAGAAAACTAAAAAAAAAAAAAAGACTAAGAAAACTGGGGTTTGAGTCCAGAACCCTGGGTGAGTTGTTCCCTACAGTGCAGAGAACGCTGACTTCAGTCAGCCTGGAGCCATCAGGTCTCAGATTGCCCAGGAGGAAGGGGCACTTGGAAACCTCATTAGCCCAATCTGAGTCAAGAAGTGCACTGATAATCGAAAATGCAGGCTAAGCCACTCATTGGGCTAAACTCTGAAAATAATTTTCTCTCTCTAGACTCCTAGATGTATCTGAAGGCTGTTTTTCAGGTTAATTTGAGGAAATCTTTGTGATTTCAAAAGACATCCCCCTTTTTTGATGGCTTCAGCTGAACTTTTTATTTTTTTAAGGAAGTTAATTCATAAATAAGGAGCAGGGTTAGTAGGGCTTGTAAGTGTCCTTACCTATAAAAATGGCGATAATGACAGGGTTGTCATGAGGATTAATTGAGATTATACCAAAGGGCTTAGCACACAGTAAGTGCTAAATGAATATTTGCCTTTGTTCTTTTAAAATGTTGTGATTATCATCATTATTTAGTAATGAAGCAAGTGCTAGAAAACTTATTCATAAAACCAGATGGG